ATAGATTTTAATATGTTTTATCACCAGGATTAGTTATTTATTGCTGCATAACAAATTATCATAGAGTTTCTTTGAGTCGGGGATTCTAAAAGGATTCATCTGAAAGGAATGGCTTAATATCTGCTCCAGGAAGTCTGGAGGGCTGGGCAGCTGGGAGCTGGAATCTTCTGAAGGCTCTTGTACTTAAGAAACCCAAAGGCACTGAAACCTTTTGCTTTCTGCAGCTAGTCAAGCTCCAAGTGAGGAGCAATATCAGTCTTCTTTTCTCATCAATGAAGCATAATATATTTGAGGTTCACTCATGTTGTTGTAGCACATATCAGTATTTTGTTCATTTTATTGTTGAAGAATTTTTTATTGTATGGATATGCCACATGATGTTTATCCATTCATCCAAAGATAGACATTTGAATTGTTTCCAGTTTTGGACTATATGTGTAATACTTCTATGTGCATATGCATAATGCATACACGTTTTTGTGTGCACATTTATTTTGTTCTCTTGGGTGGATACCTAGGAGTGGAATTGCTGGGTTATAAATTCATGTTTACTGCTTAAAGAAAGTTCTAACCTATTTTCCAGAGTGACTATACAACTTTATATTTCTACCAGAAATCTTTTCCATCAGCAATTCATGTTATTTTTTTGAGCAATGATTTGTGAATTTCAGTTTACAAGTCCTGCATTTATTATGCTAAATTTATTCCTAAATATTTTATTTTCTTTGATTCTACTGTGAATTGAATTGTTTTCTCAATTTCCTTTTCGGTTTGTTCTTTGCTAGTATATTAAGTATGCAATTGCTATTTTTCATATTGCTGTCTTATCCCATGGCCTTGGTGTACTCCTTTCTTACATCTATCAGTTTCTTTGTGGATTCTTTAGGGTTTCCTACCTACAGGGGCATGTGATTTTTGAACAGAAATAGTTTTCGTTCTTTTCAATCTGGAGACTTTTATTTTTTTAATTTTATTTTCATTTGATTGCACTGGGTAAACCTTCAAGTACAGTGTTGACTATAAGTGGCAAGAGCAGACATTCTTGCCCAGTGCCTAATAGAGAGCTAACATTCTGTCTTTTCACCATTGAGTATGATGTTAGCTAAAGATTTCTGCTAGATAGATTATGTCAGGTTGAAGATGTTGCCTTCAATTCCCTTCTATTCATTAGTTGTTGAAAGTTTTTTTTTTTCAGTCATGAATGGATGTAGGACTTTGTCAAATGCTAATTCTGACTCTATTGGGATGGCCATGTGATTTCTTTTTTGTTCTTTCTTCTATTAATATGTTGTATTGCATTGATTATTCTTGGACATTAAACTAACCTTGCATCCCTAGGATAAACGCCATTTCATCATTGTGTATTAGCTTTATAATACACTTCTGGAACTGATTTTGTTAAGGAATTTTTGTACTTGTCTTCATGAGTGATATTAGTCCATGCTTTTGTTTTCTTGTGATGTTTTTGATTGGCTTTGGTATCAGGATAAGTAGAATGACTAGGTAAATGTTTCCTCCTCTATTTTCTGAGTTTGTGAAGAATTGATATGATGTGGTCTTTAAATACTTGATAGAATTCCCCAGTGAAACCACGTGAGCATGAGTTTTTCTTGGTGGGAGGATTTTTAATTACAGTTTCATTTTCTTCACTTATTTTAGGTCTATTAAAATTTTCTATTTCTTTTTGAGGTCAGTTTTGGTAATTTGTGTCTTTCTAGGAATTTGTCCAGTCCATCTATGTTGACTAAATTTTTGGCGTAAAGTAATTTACGATATTATCTTATAATATTTTAATTCATTTTGATAAAAACTGAAGTTTCCTTCTTCATTCCTGGTTTTCGTAACTGGGGATTTACTTTGTTTTTCTTAGTTTAAGTTGTACTTTAAAATACTGATAATAAAGCAGTTCTAACTCAAATCGACACAGAAAGCTATGGGAGCTGAATGAGCTATCAACAAGGGATAGGGAAAGAAGACGTAACAAACGTTTTGAAGGCCTGAGGGATAAAAATATAATTATTTCTTGATGATCTTATATGAGCCCTTAATAAAGCTGGTTATTAAATATAAGCAACATGGATCAATGATAATTGGAGTTTAAATGGTTTGAATACTACTAACACAGCAATTAATTGTGTAATATTTTTGTTATTAAATACTTACTAAGTTTATATTTGAATTTGCTTTCTAAGTAGTCAATGATAACTACCTGGCAAAAATTTGGATAGTAGTGCTCATGCTGAATCAAGTTTAAACAGATTTCATTATTGCTGTCCCAAATAAAGATTAGATAAATCAGAAAGGAAATAGATCATTACTTTTTCGCATAATTTAGTGAAATATATATATATAAATGAAAACAATTCTATATTACTCTAATAAATTATATTCTCTTGTGAAAAGTTCAGTGCTTACTTGGGTACAGTAGTTCATGAATAGAGATTTTAGTGCTTCCCCAGCTGGCATTTAAAATCATAAGGTAGCATTTTTAAGCCTTTAATTATGAAAAGTTTCACAAATATACAATAGAAGAGAGAACAATATAATGAAACCCATAAACCCATTACTCATTTTCGACAATATGAACATGTTGTTTTTGTTGTTGTTATAGGTTTCCTCTATCTTTGTTTGGGTATTTATTTTATAATTGCCAAAATGATGACTAGTGACATTTAGTTTTCAGTAATTCTACAAATCCTATGGTGCACAGGAAAATCTTACACAACAAATACTTGTCTTAGCTAAAATACCAAAAGCACCCCTCTGAGAAACACTTTTAATAATTAGATGTTACAGTAGGGATTATATTTTTATGACATATTACGCATTGGAGCAGATGTTAAAATCTATATTGCAGGAGGATAAACAATTTAAAACTACCAAAAGGGAATTTCTTATGTGTAAAAAATTGAGTTAAATTAATTTTAATAACATGTATATACATTATAAAGGCAAATATGCATTATAAATATAATTGTGGGAGAAGTCCCACCCTCTTTGGAAGATATCCCATCCTCACACTAATTTAATAAGATAAAACTGTAATTCTGGAAAAAAATAAAAACAAAATTCTCCTTTTCATATGTCCTTGGGACTTGTACCTTGTGGACCAAGTGAAATAAGAAGTAGGGACTGATTTTCATATTGTACAGAAGTTGACTAGGTTAAGTTATTCACGTGAATTTACTAAACTTTAATCTCTAATATGAATTAGTTGTCTAACATTGGGAATAACAGTGTCTATATCAGAATTGTGAACCCTAAATGAGTTAATCTACGTAATGAATTTTAGAATATAGATACATGGTAAGCATTATAAAATATTAGGCATTAATTTTTGTTGTTATTTTTGATAATTTCCAGTTTGTTCAGGAAAGTGGACCTAGTTTAACCAAATTGTTGAATTTTTTCTACATTTTATGCTGTATGAGTAATTAATACGCTAACAGAAGCAGAGCTGGATAATCTCCGCAAAGTGCTGTTGGTAATAAGAGTAATGATAATTTACTAAAAATGATCTAACATTTTGTAAACATCATTTCATTTAATACAACAAACCTATGGATTAGAGTCTGTTAATATCATGCGTTTCATATGAAAAACATGATTTGAAGAAAGATTAAATAACTTGTGAAAGCTCCTTTTCTATCAAATAAGATAATGCCCTGTGACCAATATTAATTTTTTGATGATAGATATTTTCTACATCCTTCTCCAAGATTACCCACGCACCCTCTGTAAACACACCCCGTATTACAAAATACTCCATTTATCCTCACTTTGTGTTATCTGTGTCTGTCGTGGTACACAATGATAGATTTCACCGTGTCATATGTGAATATATGAACATTTCTTAAGCTACTGTTTACAGTGCTTTTTACTTTTTAATAAATGTTAACACAGCAGGATATTGTAGACTTGTCAGAATCATTCATGTGGTGAGATTTTGTATGCATTCTTTCAAAGAATCCAGATAGAGATCTAAAAGAATACTAATATTATGAATCTTCAGTGGCACTGCAGATGAGGAATTTAACACACAAACCAAGTGAAAGAGAAGGTATGGTGGAATGAACATGGTATTTGGATGTCCAGAGTCCTCGGTTTGAATCTTAACTCCCCATTCCTCTAGATGTGTGACTCTGGGCAAGATTCCTTCAACAATTTGGGGCAGCTTATCCATCTGTAAAACTTCATAAGGTAAAATTTTATAATAAGTAAGTTAAAACATGTTCGTTCTGTTGTGCCTTATTAGTTTAATTATTTCTAGTCTTCTACAAATGACAGGGATGCAGATAATGTATCATAGGCTGAGGCTAAAACTTACGATATGATTTCGTTGGATATATTTTTCAAGCCAACATTCCTTTTGATGCTGTAGAAAGAAAGGCTCATTTATTCTTTCCGTTCTTATCACCAGCAAGTAATTTCAGGGTGTATTCTAGCTTTCCATAGCCTATCTCTTCTACTTTCTTAAAGCTGTTATTTTAATTTTCATTTATGAAAAGCTCTCTGTCTTTTGTTCTCTTTGTAATTTACTATCTTTCTTTTTAGGAGGAATCATTTTGAGAGAGTTATTTAAAATGTGTAGACGATTCTACCCAATATAGTTTTAAATATGGAAATAACGTAGAAAAACATGTTTTATCCAGTGAAAAATATGACTACTGGTGAAGATTGGTTCCATAAACTAACCCTAGTGTGATGGCTACACAGTGATAAAATACCAGCTAAATGATTGACCTCAATTTTGGGGGTGATTTTCAGAGATAAACACGGGGATAGTGCACTGCTAGTGCTCTGACAGCAAAACATTGATACCACACTTATTCATCCTTTATCGTTTATATTTGACACAACACCTCAGAGTTTCCACAAAGAAAGGGTCATTTGGATTCTACATGAAAGCTGATTTTTTAAAAAATTTAGTAATTTTTACTGTAAAAGCAATAACAGACCAGGTTTTATAATCCTCTTTTCTCTTTTTACGTTTTCAACAGGTAACCCATTATTAACCAGCAAAGTCAACATATTGATTAATGTCCTAGATGTCAATGAATTTCCTCCAGAAATATCTGTGCCGTATGAGACAGCTGTGTGTGAAAATGCCAAACCAGGACAGGTATCTTATCAATATTATCAATTAAGAATGTAAAAAGACCCGCTATATGCATGTGTTTTAGGTTATAAGACGATATATATAAATAATATATAATATACAAAAATATATATATATTATTTTTCTGGGTTATATGTCTTCATAAAAGAAACTATAAGAGATAATACACTCTTATAAATTAATGGTACATATTTGGATGTAGAATACCACAGGGGATAAAGTGATGATGGGCTAGTGAATATTCTTTGTATAACTAAAAGGTCTAGGATTGCAGATTCTATGTTTTCCATTCTTTTGTTGTGGAGTTTCTAATGAACTTGTGACTATAAACCCAGTAAGCAAACAACTTTAGAGAGCATTCTTCTAAAGTATTTCTTGCTTTGTTCACATGCTTTTATAAAGGGGTACGGCAAAACTCTTAAGCCAATGAAAAGTATAAAACTTTCTTCTATGGTGGCCTTGATGGAACATCTAGGTTATTCAAAATATCTGAATTACATTTTCCTTATTCAGTCAATACTGCTCAAGGGGAGGTTCTAGTGGGGAGATGTCATGAAGGAAGACCGTATAGTTAATGAAAGTTACTGTCAAAACCCTAGATATTATGTGGGTGGTGGTGGGTAGCCAGTTTTTTCCTACACTGTTATAAACAAATGAATAAATAATATAATATAATGTAATGTAATGTAATGTAGTGTAATGTAGTAGGAATCAGTCATGAGTAAATGGTGAGAATATGTCATGAAACAAGAATATGACTAATCCAATACTGTGCATCTAGTTTCCAAAGGAAAATTATATCAGTATGCTTTGGTTTGCTGTATATTTCAATCACCTTTAAACAGCATAATTACTCATTTAAGGAAATTTGAAGTTTTAATTCTTATTTGAAAAAAATCTTAATATTTGAAACAGTATCTTTATTGAAAAAGGTCATTCTTTAATCTTTAGTATTTGTTTCAATTCGAATGTTTTCTATTGCTTCGTAGAACATTTGTCCCATAATCCTGTGATATCCACTAGCCACATAGCTATTAAATTAAAAATCTACGTTCTCAGGCCGGCCTGGTGGTGTAGTAGTTACGGTCACGCACTCCGCTTCGGTGGCCCGCGGTTCGAAGGTTCAGATCCCGGACGTGGACCTACATACTGCTTATCAAGCCATGCTGTGGCCGGCATCGCACATATAAAGTAGAAGAAGATGGGCACGGATGATAGCCCAGGGCAAATCTTCTGCAAAAAGAGGAAGATTGGCAACAGTGTTAGGTCAGGGCTAATCTTCCTCACTAAAAAAAAAGAAAAAAAAAATCTATGTTCTCATTCACACTAAGTCCATTTCAAATGCTCAACAGCTGTATGTGGTGAGTGGCTACCATTTTTGTCAGTATAGATATAGAATATTTCCATCAGTACAGAAACTTCTAGTGGCCTGTGCTGCTTTAATCCTTCTTTTGATAATTTGGAGAAAGTATTAATTTTATTACAACATGACTTATTTAGTCATATCTTCCCTAGTGTAAAATTTGCATCCTTAATTTTGAATTGACACAGAAATGCATTTAAACAAAGTTTTAGTGTTTTATCACCTTAAATGTAACCACAATTTACATGGGACTAGCCCAGTGCCTGCTTTAGTGTCTGAAATAGTAGATGCTGCATAAGTGTTTACACAAATAAATAACCAGATTTGTTTATTTGGAAAGTTATAAGAGGTTTACCAAAATTCCACAACTTAGCTATTTTCCACTTTCCAGATCCCTCTGCCACACCCCCAAAAGCCAGTCCTTTATTTTTATAGGTAATTAGGGACATTAATTATTTCATGTCAATCAGAACCTTGTAATGCACTAAATGAAAGCCTTTTGGAAATAGAACTCTATTTAATGCTTCTATGTTTGTCTAGTAAATTAAAGTTTAAAAAGTTGGCAATAGTGAAAGTTACTAGAGATGACTTGATTTTCTTACATTGGGACAAAGAGGTGAGGAATCTGTGGGATCCTTGGAGGATTTTTGTCTAATAAATATCTGTTGGGCTTGTGGTGTCCTACTGGGCCACCTTTATGTACAAAGCATAACACTGAAATGTCTCTTGAGTTTTCAGGGAGTGTATATGAGCGTTTTCTGCTTTTGACCCCAGCCATTCTGCCCCTTGTCTAAGAACATGCATAGAAACTATCTATCTCTTCTGGAGTGTAATTGAATATGTATGTATGTATGTATGTATGCATTATCTTTCTATCTATCTTTCTATCTATCATCTGTCTATCTAAAGAAGAAAGAAAAGAGAGAAATATGATGCTGTATAAATCAATAATGATTTATATGGTGAATCAAGGAAGCATAGGATTTGTTTTCCTTAGGGCAATGACTCCCAGGTGTCAATGCCAGATAAGTGCCAGTTTATACCAAAATTTTCATTTATGTATGCTGTTTTAAAGGACTTTTCTTCATTCTAGATTTATGTTCTTGATATATTTGATGTTAAATACCTTTAATTTAGTAAATGATTATGCTAGTTGATAGTAGTTAAAGCAAAACAAAACAAAACTTGGCAAATAAACCCCCCAGAATTTACAGAAATTTTATGGATGAGATATACTGATCTGAGTATACGGGTTTGTGTGAAAGAAAGTTTTACAGGGTTGAAGTTTTACAGGGTCTATATGGTCATTCTTTAAATAAATTGCCACATCTCATGATCTGGCCTTTGGTGTTGAATAATGAAAGTCTCCTTCATGACAATTCTGAAGGGTGAATAGATCCTGTGTGACTGATTCACACTGAACCAGAGAACTGAAATTCTCATTAGAGGACCAATTTATCAAATTACAAATTACTAATACTGCACCAGACATTCAGAGTCTCAGTATATATGTTTGTGTGTGACAGCGAGAATGTGTGTGTGTGTGAGTGTGTGCATGCACGAACACAGCTATACAGGAAAATCGTAGGCATGGGATTGAGTTTTAACCATGGAATCAAAACAAATAGTAGTAAATAAATCACATGTTTAATGGCATCCATCTAAGATCACATGCTTTGCCCACTGGGACCAGGATGTGGGACTGAAATCTAAGATCTTCCTCTGGCAAATTCAAATTTAGTCTAAGAGAGTGACCACCTGACCAGCACACTGCACTCACCCTCTTCCACACACACTTCCTGAAATTCTTCCTGATGCAAAGCCAGTGGCTATGTTATTAAATAAATGCCTCGAAGCCATTCTGATTTGCTTATCTCTGTAGCGAATTATCAATTTCATAGTTTGACTCTCAGAAGTTATTTTTAACTTCCAAATTCTTCAGGACATCTTGTTGAAGTATCATAATTTTATCTACTAGATGCACAAACTGTGGAGCAATTTAGGGAAAATTTTGAAACAGGGTTCATAGCACTTACTTCTTAAAAACTCTGTAAAAACATGATTTGTATTCTTATCCACTGGGGGAAAACAAACATAACAACAAAAGCAGATATACATTCTTTGTATCGCTCTTTGTCATCATTTTATTTATTTATGAAAATAAAACATTCTCACAAACATAACTCTACTAAAATTTTGCTATTGCAAAGGCTTTTAAAAAATCAGAGATTTTATTTCCAGTAAGCATTTTCATATTTAGGTTAGAAAGCATTTATTTCATCTAATTTAAAATGCAAGCAAGTATATTTTAATTTTATTTTGCTTATTAATGAGAATTTTCAATGCTGTTAAGCCTTTTAGTTATGCAGATATTGATTTGGAATTAGCCCATACCCTATAAATGTACCCGCCATTATTAACTGTAAATGTTTAGATATTTGTTTATAAAAATTACTTGTAAATAATTGGCCCACTGATATGAATCCTAAAAATGTATTTCTATTTGCATGCTTCATTAAATAAACTTATTAGCCTGGTATGTAGAGTTCCCTTTGAAAATGATGACTGACTTCAAGTTTCATCTCAACTTTGTTTCAGATAATTCAGATAGTCAGCGCTGCAGACCGAGATCTTTCACCTGCTGGGCAGCAATTCTCCTTTAGATTATCGCCCGAAGCTGCCATCAAACCAAATTTTACAGTCCGTGACTTCAGAAGTAAGTTTAACCACATAAAAATTTACCTCTTATCATGTAACTTTGTAAAAAGATACGAAAGTAGAAATCAATGCTTTCCTAAAAGCACTCAGGTTCATAAAATATTGAAATCCATATATGAGGAATACAAAATTCTATAGCTAGCAGTAAATTAAATATTTAACCTGTATAGACTGTATCTAATGAGGCAAATTACTTCCATTTATAACGTGGACAGTTCCTTAACGAGTCAAGCAAACAATAGGCTATCTGGGGAATTGAATGCTTTCCATGTTTTAAATATATCATTTGTTCCACATGCACATTACATATATGTCCAAAAAGGTAAATTCTTAGTACTTGTTTTATTTGAATAAACCTAGGTACAGACAGGTTAAGAACACAGGCTTTGTCATTAGAATGATATAGGTTTTCGTTCCCACTCCATTACTAGTGAAATGGCAGACTCTCAATGTATTAAATTATACTAAATAATTTTAACCTCATAGTTGAAATAAATTCACATCATAGTATTTACATTAAATAAGGTAATGTATGAAAATCCTTTAACACAATGCCGAAAATCTATTACTTTCAAGATCATTTTAGACACCACCTCTACCGTCATGTCTGCATTTACATTTCTACCACTGCTCCTCCTACTACTACTATCACATCTACTGCCATCACAGTCACTGCAAGAATAGAAAGGACACTGGCTTAGAATATTAAGGCTAAATACTGGTCAGTTGTTCTGACTATAGTAGTTCTGTGACTTTGGGTATTTTATCTTCTCTAAGTTTCCATAGTTATAAAATAAGAATTAAAAATACCTGAGTTCATAATATTGGGCAGTGAAAAGCTAATTTTTTACTAAATTATATGCTTATAGAACAAATGAACAAATTGTGATGAGAGGATGATGATGGTGATGACTGATAGAAGCCAAAGGATGTTTTGAGAAAACTGAGTTTTCTGCAAATATTGAGGGGAGGGAAATCAGAGTCCCTACATTTTGTCACAGAAGGAAATTCAGTGGGATATGCTCCATCCAATAATGTTGTGTGAGGAATCCTGTAGATGAAAGAGGATCCCATATATGAAGGACCTTTTAAATAGAGAGACCACGTATTTTATCATGAAAACTGAAGCACTTTTGAGAATAGAAGTGGACAATGTTGGCAATTTTAATTAGAACAGCACACATGAAATATGGCTGTCCAAGACACACTGGACAATATGGTCACCCTTTCTATAAGCCATTTAAAGAGATCATAACTTAAATCCAGTGATTTGAGAAGTCTCTGAAAAGTTTCCACAAGAGTATAACACGGTCAGATTTGCGTTTCGGGGAGATCAGTCCAGATGCAGTGTGGAAAATACCATGGAGGGATATAAGACTACTTCTGATGCTAGTGCAGATATTGAGTAGGAGTCTTAGATTAGGGTAATGGCTGTGAGGATGGAGATAGGTGGATGGAGATAGAATTCATAGGGCTTGATGCTAGATCCTCTAGATGCCATATGTAAATATGATGGAGAAGGAGACGAATCAGACTTCCAGATCATTGGCTTGGGCAACTAAGTAGATGGCTATGTCATTCAGGAATGAAAGTATTGACTATTTCTCACCATTGTATCTTTACTGGAGAATCTATATTTGATTAATCATAATAATATGAATCAGATCATCTTGCCTCATAGCATAGTGTTTTCTCATAGTCTGAACATGTATTTGTCTCTCATATGCCATTTACCATATTCCCTGTTTTATCTTAAGTTATATTTTAATTGTAAGTGTAAGTTTTTTTAAGCGGATAGAAACGTTTTTTTTCACCTCACATATTTACCCTTTTTTTTTAGGGAAAACATTTAAGTTCTACTCTGTGAGCAAATTTTAATTATATAATACAGTGTTGTCAACTATAGTCACCATGTTATACATTAGATCCTCAGACCTTATTCATCTTATAACTGAGAGTTTGTACCTTTTTACCAAGCTCTCCCTATTTCCTCCACCCCCAGCCCCTGGCAACCACTTTTCTACTCTCTGTTTCCATGAGTTTCACCTTTTTTTTAAGATTTCAAATATAAGTGATACCATCCAGTATTTGTCTGTCTTTGTTCGGCTTATTTCACTTAGCAAAATGCCCTCCAGCTTCAACCATGTTGTCACAAAGCACAGAATTTTCTTCTTTCTTATGGCTGAATACTATTCTTCTGTGTGTGTGTGTGTGTGTGTGTGTGTGTGTGTGTGTCCGTTCATTGATAGAAAACCATTTTAAGGGTGAAAATGAGGTTTAATATGTCTTTTTCTTCCCATTATGGAGAGCACAATGAGTTTTATATGGTCTATATCAATAATAATAATGGGTTGAAAATAAACATTAAAAAAGTATAGGCTGCCTTTTGACATAACTTGTGTTCAAAAATATCAAACCCTGACTCCACAAATGGAAATATACCAGCTTTTCTGACTTTCTATTCCTAATAATCATTTTCACCCAGATTTCAAACTTTAATCTTTTTTCTGAGACTCAAGTATTTAATCATCAAAAAAATCATCAAAGATTTTGACGTTAATTCAACTATTTCCCCTTTTTCCATTCCTACTTTTGCCATAAGTGCCAGGCATCACTAACTCTTATTGAGAATATTGTATTAGACATTTAGTATCTTGATATTTTGTTTCTCAATTTAGAAATACCCTTTATGTAATAATAAATTAGTCTTCTCATGCCAAACTCTATCTTATCATGTAAAGTTTTCTCAATTTGATGCTTCCTATTGAAATGAGTATAGAGAAGCTGCCTAATTTTCAGTTGTTGAAATTAGAATCTACAAATACATAGGTGAATGGAGTATTATTGAGATAGTAACATTTTTCTGACACTTGTATTTTAATGAGTAATATATTTTTCTAAATTTATTTTACCTTATTGCAAATTGGGTATCATGTATGACTATAATAAACTAAATATTAATACATTTCTAAAAATAGCAAAGTGTTTCTAGGAGTTACTTTAAAAGACAAAAAATAAAATAGTGTTATGAATGAAACAAAATTTCCACTTCTATGTAAAGAAATAAAAGAATTAAAGAACAAAGGCGTGCAAAATAACACTTTGGATGAAATAGTTGCACTTATATAAAATTTTAGATTTTTATTGCCTTCGATTATTCCTAGTAAATATTACTGTTATTGGTTTTTACAGAATTAAAATAAATTACTTTTATAATTATATTAAAGTGGTGCTGATTATAATTCATGATGTTTAAAATTTTTATTGAATCTTGATTTTTTTAACACATTTTTTCTTTCCATGTCTCTTACACTAACAGATGTGCAAAAATGAAAGTACATATATAACATAGATAGAGATTTGGGAAAAAGTAAAAAATCAAGTTTTTATCTGGAATAGTAAATTGATACTTGTTATATTTTAAAGAATAGGTTCTTAGCTAAGATGTTTTACAGATTCATACTTTGTAATCTTTGCTCTTCTGTTTTGTAAGAAAACATCCACAGAAGTATTTTTTCCCAAGGAGATTTTGATCTCAGAAAAAAATGGGTGAACACAACACACTTCTTGTCTTGTAAACCATTCTATATTCTTTCTGAGGAGAAAATTTAATTCTTACACCAGGCAAGTTTAATGTTTCTTCTTTCTCTAAGGATTATTTTGATTACATTTCGGCAGCTTTCATAATGATAAAAGAAAGAATTAAAATATGCAATATTTTACTGATTTAAGAAGAGCTTCCTACTGTTTAACAGATAGTAACTTTAAGATGTGAAGTGAAGCTCATAGTAACCATCTTATCATAAATGTCATGTTTTGTAGACAACACAGCTGGAATTGAAACTCGAAGAAATGGATACAGCCGCAGGCAGCAAGAGCTGTATTTCCTCCCTGTTGTAATAGAAGACAGCAGTTATCCTGTCCAGAGCAGCACAAACACAATGACTATTCGAGTTTGTAGATGTGACTCTGATGGTACCATCCTGTCTTGTAATGTGGAAGCAATTTTTCTACCTGTAGGACTCAGCACTGGGGCTTTGATTGCAATCCTACTGTGCGTTGTTATACTCTTAGGTGGGTTGCAGTATTAATTACATTCTTTCTCTCTCTCTCTCTCTCTCTCTCTCTCCTTTCTGTGTATCTCTCTCCTCAGTTTACCATATAAATCAGTTTTTCTTTATTAAGATGCCACATCTGGATAGAAGGAAGATTGTCTATATTGAATTATATTTTTGTTAAAGTTAATTTTCCATTTCATATTTCATGAATATATATCATTAGAAATACATAAATAACATCATCAAAAATGCAAAAATCTGTTCAAGCCCTAGGGGATTTTCAAGTAATAACAGTTTGTGGCACTAGCCGCAATAACATTTTCTATAAAAAATATCTCATTTGCAGCAATGGTTTCTCAATTCATTTTACATCCTAGTAATTATTATTGCCTAATAAGATATTATATAACCTTTTAAAAATATGCTAGATGAATGATAGTTCTCAAATACCGGGTCAATGAAGAAAGGAGGAAAAGAGGATGGACAGGAAAGAAATAGAGAAAAAGTGAAGGGACCTCCAAATTTGTTTTTTTCTGTTTAACATGCCAGCCAGAAACAATTCTTATTCTACTTTTGTCACATCTCCTCACGTCAAAATTCTAACTATTCCTGCTAGAACAGAACAGAACACACTAAAATATCTAGAAGCACGGCAAAGGAAAAGGGCTGAAGTAAATGTATTCTGTAACATCTCTGAGAATAAATACAAACCTACCATAGGGGGTTCCCTCTTCCATCAACTCTGTTCAGCTGACTCCATTTCACTTATTAATTTGCTGCCAGAATCACAAAAATAAAGAGAAATTTTCTATTTTTCCAGTCATTCCTTTAAATTCAAATTGCAGCAGATATATGGTTGGGCACTGTGGAATCAGTTTGTATACGTATGTTTATTATTTAACCAAAATATTTTGACAGATGTGGATATCTACTTTTATCTGTAGCTTAGAAAACAACATTTTAAAAAATTACTGGGGTGCAAGCATGGAGTAAGGCATTATATAATAGTTTGTGAAGAACATTCTCTGAGTCAGAAGCTCAGGCGAGGTTGGAGGGTAAAGTTCTAGTCCAATTTGCATGGTGTAGATATTAATTCCACGCAAGTGACTTGGGTGTGTGGAACAAAGCAATCGTTATATCCTTATAATTTATAATAAATTATATCTGGCATCTGTTTGTGCTGATTATATAAGCCTTAAGAGGGCTGATTCAAAATAACATTCTCACATCTAAAATGGAACATTATCAATTAAATATTTAACTTCAAATCAAGTGTTTCTCTCTCATGCTCCTCTCCTCTCTAGGAGCTAGTCCCATAATATTTCCGTATCAACCCAGCATGATTTGTCATGTTCTGGATTCTCGCCTTTGGCCTCCTGCCCCTCTTATATTGTTGCAATTAATTTTGCTCAGATCAACATTATCATGTACTTCCATCTGCCACTCATTCATCCAAATACTTTGCAAGCGTCCACAGCGCACCTGTGCTGTTCTAGAATCGTGAATTTGCTATCTCCAGCAGTGAATGTTGACACTTAGTCCTGCCACGGGGTCTGCTTAAAAATCCGTCTCTTCTTTCATCTCCTTAACCAATCTCAGACTCCTTTACATCTGCCAGCTTATTCTTAGCTGTTTTTATATCCTTCCAGGCGTGAAGGGATGCCCAAGAATCTTGTGATGCTTGGGTATCTTTTAAGTGGCCCTCAGGCACATCTAACTAGTCCCTTTCTCAGCCATGGTAACTCTAAAACCATTTATATGCAGGGCTTCTCTATGAGGCTTGCAGTCACTCACACACTCCGCATGTGAATAAACAAGAGTGTCTTTAATTCCGGGATTTGCCTAAACCCTGGGAGGAGTGCAGAGTGCTAAAGATCTCTCCAAGGCCCATTGTACAGAAGCTCTGCCTACATCTCTTCCCTCCTTCCAATTCACCAAATTCTTATTTTGGAGGAAGAGAGAATAAATAGGATTTCATCATCATGCCCTCTCCTCCACTTTCTAATCCTATGACAAGAGGCTTCCAGACTGCTGCAGTAAATGATTGTTGACATGATTTGTACAACTAAGGCCCTTATATTCTATGGTCTCTCTTCTCTTTTTCTCATTTATTGCTTTTAATAGTGATTGTCACTTGAAGATTTGTGTTTATTTCAGTAGAAACACATTAATGTTACAACTGGGAAATCTAGGTATGAATAATATCCAGATGTTATTTACAGGCTATACTATTCAAGTTTTGTTACATCAATGCTATACAGCTCTCTGTATGCTTAACCATTCTTTCCTCTTTTTTTAAATTTTATAACATGCACTTTTTACATGATGCTAACATATTTAAACATAATACATGTTAAATATAAAGCTATGATTATTTGATTTTGTGAATAATTTTGCTATGGTTTCTTGTTAGTTATGATTTCAAAATGAAGTTAAGTTTAGACAAGGAAAAAAATGTAAACATAGATATGATCCGTAATGATTACAGTATGTTTACTTTGAAAATAATAGGATGTCATTAAAGAAACTCAGCCAGCCCCAATCAATTTTGATGTTTGAGAGAGAGATGAACTGACGTATTCTCAAATTGCAATTTCTGTCTCGTTCTAGCCATAGTTGTGCTGTATGTAGCTCTGCGAAGGCAGAAGAAGAAAGATACCCTGATGACCTCTAAAGAAGACATCAGAGACAACGTTATCCATTATGATGATGAAGGAGGGGGTGAAGAGGACACCCAGGCTTTCGACATTGGTGCTCTGAGAAATCCAAAAGTGATTGAAGATAACAAAATTCGCAGGGATATAAAGCCCGACTCTCTCTGTTTACCTCGTCAGAGACCACCTGTGGAAGATAACACAGACATAAGGGATTTCATTAATCAAAGGCTACAGGAAAACGATGTCGACCCAACAGCCCCACCATACGATTCATTGGCAACATACGCCTATGAAGGAAATGGATCTGTAGCAGACTCCCTTAGCTCCATAGACTCTCTCACCACGGAAGCTGACCAGGACTATGACTATCTGACAGACTGGGGACCCCGCTTTAAGGTCTTGGCAGACATGTTTGGTGAAGAAGAGAGTTATAACTCTGATAAAGTCACTTAGGCGAGAAGCGAAGGCTAAAACACAACCAACAGGAGAAATTTAAAAGAAACGCAAATAGAAATCACACACACACGCGCGCGCACACACACACACGCCCCAGGCTTGCTAGAACAAGATTCCTTTGATTATCTGGTTTCTAGCAAGTTGCTATATTTATCATATTGTCAGTTTGGTTTTTTCTGCCAAGACGAGATAAATCCCATAATATGTACTTGCTTGGTTTTGTTTTGTTGTTTTGGAAACACACTGAGACAAGCTCAGGCCTATTAAATACAATGTACTGACATGACAACCTAGAACGAAGATAGCTATGTGGCATCACAGTGGAAGAGTGTTAGATTTTTCTTAATTCCACTAAAGTGCCTATTGAAACTCTTATCATTTAAAGTGGTGTACAGTACACTCTGCTGTGATGGCATGGCAGGAGTCAGAGACACAGAGGACACAAAAAAAAGACACTGGCTGTATGTCAAGGAGCAATAGCAACATGCTGACTTCTAATTCCTTTGGAGGAAAAAAGAAGAATACTTTCTGAACTCCATCTTCTTATAAATCAAAGTTTTTTTTTTCTTTTTTAAACTGTATGCCAAAACATATTTGTTTTTCCTACCCTTTCAGAAAATTGAAATAAATGAGATATCAAATTCAATATGTAAGTCCTGAATTTTAAAAGCAATGTTTGATCTTCACATTAGTTCATATTAAAGATGTTCATTAAAATGATACTTTTTTTCCAAAAAAATAAAATTTTGAAAAAGGAAATTTTAAAAAATTCCTCTTTATAAAGAGAGGCCTCAGGGCTGAATCTCCACATTAAAATAAATATTGATTTGGTTTTAATACTGTGCTGGTGTGTGGAAGGTTGGTTTTAACAAGTCACCAGATCATTGAAGTCTTCAGTCATAGATAAAATTTTAAGTTGTGTTTCTATGAAACTTTTTTAGGGAAAAAAAGCGCCATTAATTTAAACATGGTAAGAGAAATTCATTATATAGCTTCTCAGTGTTTCTTACAATCTAGTGATTCTTTGATGAGCAAAGAAAATAAAGAATATATCATATAGTACAGGGTGGATTTAAGGCACGTCTAAAAAATATTTATTATACATTACTGAACACATGAAAAATCAAGGACTTCAGAAAATTCAAATCAACGACTAACTCCTAAAATGAACACAAATGCAAACTCAGGCAGTTGATTTATTTATTTTATTCACATGAATTTCAACTTTGTGAACGTTGTTATTATATAGGAGCACAGAGTTGCTCCTTTAGGCTATCATCTACAGTGATTCTAATATAAATGATCCCATACCACTTCTCTGTAAAGAACTTTTACTTTTTAAATGGATGCAGATTTCTAAGAAATATTAGATTTTATAAGCATACAGGTAAACTACACTCAAATATATAACTTTCAAGTGAATTGTACACTATCTAGAAATGCACTTAACAAAACAGATAACCTACTACAAAGTAATAATATATTTTCTTAATATTATAACTATACAAGTGACTACTGAAATATTGAAACTACATATAGGAAAAAATACAAGTTGCTTCTATATCCATCCTGAAGATGTGGTCAATATCTAGCTATATTCATGAAATATTTATGAACTTACTTATAATTGCAAGATTGAAGGTAAAAATTCAAACATGGGAAAAAGAGGTAGAAATATTGATAATATTGGCAAATTCTATTCTATTCTATTCATCATTAAATACTTCAAAAATGTATAACTAATAATTATGCTGTGGCGATTTGGCCATTTGATTCTGCAGTTCCCATTCGTTTTTGGTGTCTCCTAGTTGCATATTCTCCTTGTTGTCCTCTTCTCACCACCTCGACTTTACCTTTGTCTCCCCACTAGGAACTGCATTAGAATATTCACGTAGTGTAATAATTTGCAGTAGAATATGCTTTGGGAAATATTTATGTATTTTTTTTTTAAAGCTGGCCATGACATAACCATACTGGAGAAAAAATTAAGGCAACTTCTGGGTTTGCCCTAGCAATAAGATTTGCTATGCAATGATGCATGACCCTTTGAAGAAGGTTAATGTGCAAGATCACTTCCGGCTGACAAATTGATTCTTGTCAGGCATTACCGCACTTTGCATCTTGCTAGAGAATCTAACTGCCTCTGCATGCAATCATATATCAGAAGCAACGATAGCATCAAGAAAACTTGGGAGGGGCACTTCAAACCACATGACTAAGATGCTAAGCAAAAATATGAAATTGGTGGGTCTTATTTTCACCAAACTAATAAGCCTTTTTTCAGTACCTTCTTCTTTTAGTTTTGCTACCCCGCTTCCTTAGGCTGCCATAAAAAGTACCACAGACTGGGTGGTTTAAACAACAGAACTTTATTTCCTCACAGTTCTGGAAGCTAGAAGTCCAAGATCCAGGTGTCAGCAGAGTTGATTTCTTCTAAGGGCTGCTCTCCTTGGCTTGTAGATGGCCATCTTCTTTCTTTGTCTTCACATGGTCTTCCCTCATTGCTAATTCCTCTTCTTTTAGGGACATCGGTCATACTGACCCCACTCATATCACCTCTTTTTACCTTAACCAACTGTTTAAAGGCCCTATCTCCAAATACAGTCATATTCTGATGTACTGATGGGTAGGACTTCACAATATGAATTCTAAGGGGACATAATCCGGCTCATAATAACCACACAGATGTTAACAACAAAGTTTTGCAAAAAGTATTTGATTTACAACAAACGAGCAAACATGTAAAAAACAAAATAAAGTCTTGAATGGAAATAATCTCAGGAATAATGGGAAACCAGAGGGGTCATATGGTGAAAAGAGGTCTTTTGGTGCTCATAATTTGGAAGTATTACAGGATACTTTTTACACTACTGAAAGCACTAGGCCCATTTCCATACATATAATATCTTAGAATTCTTTATTATTTATAGTAACACAGCCACTGACCTTCATTCAGGCATTATCAACATAAAAAAATGCTTAGAGGGGCCGGCCTGGCGGCGCAAGCAGTTAAGTGCGTGCGCTTGGCTTTGGCGGCCCAGGGTTCACAGGTTCGGATCCGGGGCACACACAGACGCACCGCTTGTCAAGCCATGCTGTAGCAGCGTCCCATATAAAGTGGAGGAAGATGGGCACGATGTTAGCTCACGGCCAATCTTCCTCAGCAAAAAAGAGGAGGATTGGCATCGGATGTTAACTCAGGGCTGATCTTCCTCACAAAAAAAAAAATAAAATGCCTAGAATTTACATGGGGGTTTGGGGCTGTTAACAATAATCATACATAACTTTTTAATTACATTGCATGATAACATAAGTATGTTACTTATATTTTAAAATGTAACCTTTGTGCTCAAAGAAGTGTTAGATCAACACATAAGAGTGAAACAGTGAGATGTACTAGAAATGATCTAAAATTGCTTTTGTACTAAATTCTATCACTAACTGGAAGCTTAGCCTTCCTGTGTCCTATTCTCTTTGGTAAAATTAATTTGTTGCTTTTGGTGTTATCTGAGTTTCCTCTGAAATTTCTTGACTCTTAAGTTCTAATTACAATTACATGAAGTCCATTTAATCATTTACATGTTGATTACATTAAATTATGATAATCATAGAGATTTTTACAACATAGTGTAAATAACAAAAATCTTTGGACTATGGATTTGATTGATTATATATTGACTAACCATGTACTACATCAAGAGAGCCGAGCAAGTATTTTTTAAGTAATAACTGTCAAAATTCCTCAGCAAGTTGGGATGGTAGAGCTATGGATAGGAATAAAGAGAGAAAGAAGTGTTAAAATAACTACAGCCCCAATCTTGAGCCAAAGAGGATAAAAATAAAAGTGATAGGAAGGAAAGATTAGAAGGGATGTATTATTCCTTTTCTTTAAGAGGACAGCATTTTTAGAAATCTTTGTGAAACTTTCAGTAACTATTGTATTAAAATGGGAATTTCAGAGAGCAGATGTAAATAGGCAGGCATTATACTTGAAATGGGCCCCATAATATGACTAGGTCTGACAAGAGTTAATAAAATGTCGGTAAACAACATTGCTTCCTAAGAAAAAAGGAGTTGAAGGGAGATAATTTTATAAATCTCTCCATGTTTGAAAATTTCTCTTGCCTCCTCACCTAATTTATAGTTTATCTAGGTATGCAATTCTCATTTAGAATTATTTTTTCCTTAATATTCTGAAGGTCTTTTCTATCATATTCTAGCATCTAAGCCAGCTTATAAAACAGAAAGATGAATGTATCACTCCTTCCTTTTATGTTATATAATTTCTTTCATGATAATATTCAGATTTTTTCTTGTCTTTCACGTTATAAAATTTCACACTGATGTATCAAGATGAGTCTTTTGTCATTCCCAAGACTAGACACTCAGGGGGCACTTTCAATATGGAGCCTCGGATCCTTCAGTTCTGGGAGATTTCCTTGTATTTATTCTCCGATGTGTTCCAAAGCAGTGTTTTTCTGTTCACTCTGTGGGAGATTTTTAATATTTGATATTTAATATTGGATGTCCTGGATTTAAGAGTTAATCTCATTATATTTTAACTATCACTTTATGTTTTATAGTTTATCCTGTTTTCATGATTGCCTTTTCATCTTTATCTATCTTCCAGTTCTATTAATTTGCTTTCTAGTGACTTTTTTTTCTAATTTCAAGACTTTTTTAATTGTTATTTTGCCATTCTGTTCTCTCTTTCCTGTTATTCTGCTGTTTTCAGATGATTTGTTTCTTCACTCTCTGGCGATGTTAATCATAGCTCTTTTAAGAATTTTTGTAATAATTTTTTTCTCTGAATTATGTGTTTCAAAGTAGAAGAGAGATATAGACATTCATTTTAATTTATTATATTTCGACTCGTGTCTCATTCCAGTTGTCTGCCATATTTAGTATTTCCAAGTCCTGACATATTCCAGGATTGTGTTGAGAAGACAAGTTCTCTACTCTGCTGCAACACGGGTTCTCTAGTCTGCACATTTTATGCCCAGTTGCATTCATCACCATCCCGTTAGCCTTTCAATAATTTACCCAAAATGCTAGTCTGCTAATGGACAATATGCTATTCTCTTT